GTCATGGATAACTCAATCGAGCTCCATCGTTCCCGTACCATGACGATAGGACACCCGACTCACGACGGGAGGTTCACGCCGCTGAGCTCAGGTCCTCGAAACAAAACCTGAGTTTTGGCCCATGCTCAGTATTCAACCTGGCCGTTTGTTTGGTTTGCCCACACTAGCAAACACGCAAATTAAACGAGCAGGTCTCCACTATAAACCCTTAACAAGATAAAACATGTCTCAAGCAGACAAGCATAACGACAAACATGCAAACACAAATATTTGAAACAAACGACCATTAAAGCTGCCATTGTATGAACTTTTACAAAAAAGAAGCCCCTAGCCCTACATCTAAAGCAAAATTGTGGTCACAAGAACCACAGTTGTTCAAAAATTACATAAATAGGCACATGCCCGGAAACAAGATTACAAAATCACGACACGTGGGCTGGAGCATACTAAGAAAAATATCAAAATATCATTCTTCTATTCTTTCCTCAGCAACAGGCGATAACTGAGAAGGTCCCCCTGTGGGCTGGGCAGCAAGCTCTTTGAGATAGTCTGGGACTAGGATCTTACCAGCAGTCATATAATAATTAACCCACATGCCGGAGGTGTTGAGCTTGACCTCAAGATTCAGCACGCGAAGGGCTTCGACCCTTTCTCGAAACTTCCTTCTAAGGCGGCTTGGGCGTCATCCATTACCAGTTAGAAACGAGCGACCAGCTCACCCCGAGCCTTCAAATCCTTTATGTCTTCTAGCTCATCTTCAGCAGGCACAACCTCAACAGTCAGGATCGCTACCTTTTCCTCCAGAGCCTTCTTTTCGAGCAACCAGGTTGTGTGTTCCTCGTAAAGCTTCCTTAAGTCCTCCTCGGACAGCTTTCGAGCCTTCTCCTCATCACTCTGCCCCTTCTCAACCGCGACCAACTTAGCCCGTAGCTTCTTCAGCTCAGTCTCTTGTGAAGAGCTCCCCTCGGTATAAGAAACCGTTGTCTCTAACGTTTTCATTATGCCGCCAGCATCCTACGCCAACACTGCCCTATCTTTCGGGTGATCCAAACCCTCGAGGTGAAGAGACTCGGCCCAGCACACTCAAAAAAGCCCTTTCCATCCAGTAGGAGGCATGTCGTACTTCCCTTTCTCCTTTTCCTCGATTAGATCAACACTTCCTTCAATGTGCGGCCTCTTCGCCTTCGAGGATACTAGAACCGGAGAGAGAGCAACGGTAGCTTAACCCGAGGACGAATTTCCCGACTCTGATGTGGGAAAAGTCCTCAAACCGGTTTGAGCATCTTCAAAACTTTCTTTGCTTTAGTGGAAAAATTCCTGGCTATGCGCTCCTGAGCAAGATTCATGCTATCTGCAAAACAAACAGAAAGTCAGAGTTAACGAACGAGGACTCAAAGACGTCAACCATATATAATTATTCAAAATATAAAACTAAATACCCAAGTATTTGACAGGATCCTCTCTCGAGAGAGGATCCTTAACGACTATCAGATCAGACTCATAAACAATCTCCCCATTTTTGTCTATTACCGACTTACCTCCCCGACCCGCATGCTGGACACGAGGAATCCGCGCAACGAAATCGATCAAGACGACGAAGCTCATCTGGTCCTTGACACCAAGCTCTCCCTCCTTCCAAACATAGGAATCCAATTTATTATCAAAATGTTTCCTCGTCCACTAAAAAGGAAACTTGTAGACCAACTTGTTCACGTGCTCTCCCAACTTGTTCAAAACCGGGGGCTCCATTCTCATCATGTACTAGAGCAGTTTGGAAAATGTTCAGCATCGCCCTGCTCGAAAGAGGCTGCACAAAAATATACTTGTCCTTAAAGTGCCGAACAGACTCCAAATAAGCTTTAAACAACTTCTCATTGCCTTGCTTCAAGGAAACTCATCCCTACTTGCCATCAATCTTGATCCTCTGGAGATAGAAACAGTAGAAGAACAAAGGAATGATGGCCCCAATTTTCAAGTAATCATAGACAATCTCGAACGCTCGCATGAAATCAACCCCGTTCAGATGCAACGGAGAAGGAGCCAGACGAAGATGACGAAAAACAACCACTTGGAATCTGAAAAGGGGAGTCGAAAGCCCATCTCCCAGAACACGACGTCGTACATGGAGATCCTCCTCTTATCGTATTTCGAGCAGATCCAACTATCCTTCTCGGGGATCCAAAGCGACCACTCCCCTCGACCTCCATCATCGTACGCATACACTTCAGTGAAAACCTTTATCACCATGTTCAAAGAAATAAGAAACCCAATCCCAAGAATCCTACGCGACCCAGGTCCGCGGGTCTTTGTCGTCATCAGGCAGAAACAGGCCACCCTGATCAACGGGCACCATCTCCATGCCCTCTCCCTCCGCGTGCTGGTCAGACCTGTTCGGCTCATCCCCATATTCCTCCAGAATGTTCAATGTACTGCAAGTGTCGTTCATAGAACTCTGGGAGGATCCAACCCCTCCATCTGAAAAATCATCTCCGGCATTGTCAGTTATAGTACCTAAAAAGCAGAGGATAGAGATGAGTTCAACATAATGCCAAAATCACCCTTCCAACACTAATCAAGTGAAAGGGCGCTGATAAACGAGGACCATGTCCCCGACCAGAACCCTCACTAAGACCTCTGAACGAACAAACGCTTTTCTCAACAAGACAAGTTTCAGTCAGCGAAAATAACCTAAGTTGGATCACCTACGGCACATCACGAAAATCAGGAGAAAACCCACGGTGGCTTTAGCATTTCTAAAAATACAGAACTATCGTCTGCTATCAACACCATTCTAAAAACGTCCCGACTGACAAGATCCTAACCCTAACCACATGTATTTCTAAGACAAAAATCATGAAAATCTAAACTAAAATAGCCAAATGACAACGAAAAAAATGATATCTTATCAGTTGAAGAAGAAAGAAGGCTGAAAAGAGTGGCGGGAGCAGTAAATTTTCAAGAAACAACGACGGTCGACAAGCAAGCAGTAACGAGTAGTGCGAGAGAAGAATGAAAAACACAAAATTCCCTACTCCTCTCGTATTTATAGTTGAAATCACTCACACGTGAGAGACACACAACTCGGTAACCATAGAGTCTTCATCATTACATCCTAGTCCCTAGAGCATCATTGCGCCGCTTTGTCAGCGCACTACCCGAAACACGCTACCTCTTCAAGTTTGAAGCTCAGAACGACCAACTATTCATCTCCCCGCGAGAAAGGCGCAACGGGCGACGCTCATGCTCCTCGTAAGAAGCGCCTCATCCCACAAACATGTGTTAAAGTCATCACTCTTATGTCCAAAAGCAACGATTTGAAGGACTATTGTTTTGGACTGGCCCAACAGTCAGAGTGCGCCTAAATTAACCTCCTCCTTCGGTACAACCAATACGATCGAGACCCGGATTTTCCCGCCCTCCGTCGGGCACCATCATTCCTTTGCCCCCTGGACCGACACTGACCTACGATGATCGACGAGCACCTCTCAGTCTGTCCGACCTCAAATCGGTCAGACAACCAGGAACTAACTAGACCACTGTCTGTAATTACCTCCTCCTCGAAACTAACGGCTAGTTGCGGGCACACATGTCTGATATGACCAAGCCTTGAAAGTTATTTATTTTTACGGACCCGCATATCTAGGCCCAAAAATAGAAACCAATAGTCATACGCCAGAGACATTATATAAATTCTCACACATGTGACAGTCAGGTATCAAATATTCATTATTCACCACAAAACCCTAATACTTTGTTTGTATCTCTTTGCTCTCATACTTGATCGTCGGAGTTATTTACAGGTACAATCCCCTTTTTCCTCCTCGACTTTTCAGCCCGATAAAAAATCATCATTCAACCATCTTACAGGTTCTGACAGTAAGGTCAATTTATATCATATTCTTTGTTTATATTCAACTTCATTTATGTTAATTACATCATATTCTCTATTTATAGGTTTACTTTTTAAATTTTTTTTCACGGTCAATTATGTGTTTAAACACCGTAATATTCGAGCCGACACGAAACTAACAAATTATAATTGAACAAATTCATAATCAATACAATCGAGATTGAACCTCTATTTAGCATTTGTGTGTTGGGCCGAATTAAGTATTTAGGATTGAAACCGTCTGAACCCGACCTATTGTCCACCGCTATGTTGATTTATATCATTATTATCTGTTTATATTCGGCTTCATTTATGTTGATTTACATCGTATTCCCTATTTATAGATTTACTTTTTAATTTTTTGTCACAGCTAGTTATGTGTTTCAACACCGTAATATTTGAACTAACACAATCGTCGAAACCGACAAACCATAATCAAACAAATCCATAATCAATACAGTCGAGATTGGACCTCTATTTAGCATCCGTAGATTGGGCCAGATTAAGTATTTAGAACCGAAACCGTCTGAATCCGACCAATTATTCACCCTAATTATATGAAAGTTGTTTGAGGAGCCTACATTCAATTTTTCATGTTTGTGAATTAAAAAATATAATTTATAAGTAGACTAACAATATTTAATAGCAAAATGAATATGATGTAAACTAAAACTTTACACATTCAATTAAACACAACCTAAATTCACAATCAAATAGAAATGATTACAGGATTGTTTGAGAGTTGATTTTATAGAGGGTTTTAAAGAGAAAAGCTTAGAAGAACCGCATTATATCTTCAAATATGTTTCATATTTTTTAAAATTTTAAAAACAATATGATTTTATATATACTAATATGACATTGTTTTTTAAACTTTTCAAAAATATCACATTGTCAAAAGTAAATAATATCATAATCAGATAAAAACATTGAAGGGTTTTCCTTTCGGTATAAAATAAATCATGCAATCCATGTGAGAATGTGTATTATACTGCACAGCACCATGACTTCAAGCCACTGATGTATGTTTCGACAGACTAAACCGACATAGATTATTGTCCTCATTGCAAAAACAAATCAGGTGCAAATAAAACAACACACTACTCTCAATTCAGAGAGTGTTCTCTTTATTCTGGTTTTCCGTTTGAGAGTTATCACCGCCTAAAGAAGACGCGGCTTGTTGATTGTTTTTATCATTCAGAAGAGCACCGGCTTCAATAGCTTCCGAGTGTTCGTCGGTTTTATCACTGGGAGGTACACTAGCTTCTTCAATGGTTTCCGCTTGTATACTCTTTTGCTTGTCATTATTTTGAGGATTACTAGCTTCAGCAATATTGGTCACAACTGAGGTTGAATCCATGAGACTAGCTGCTATAGCTGCCTTTAGATCCTCATCTTCCATGTCCGAAAACAGTTCAGCTTCCTCGCGTGAAAGAAACTGATTCGAATATTGTTGCCTTTCCGCGACTCTTTCTTGTTGTGGAGCCTGCTGTACTGAGTTACAAGATTTAGTTATTCTCTCAGCATCTTCGGGTAAAAGCCACTGGCCGAAACCATTGGAAGCTTCGGACGAAGAGATGGGAAACTCTTTCGGAAAATTTCCTCTCACCAGGAATATGCTCCATCCAGAGCCTTTCAAAGAGTCAAGATAGGCTGCAAGGTAAAACTTGGAAAGGTGCTGCGGAGCTGCATAGAGACTGTCAAAGTTATACCACTCTCCGTTCACTTTGCGGATACAAAACCAATGATCTTGCAAATGACAAATGAAAGCATTTTCCAGCTCGGGATCAACCTGGGCCGGCTCGGCAACTGGAGAATCAAGGGGAATGACTTGTAGGTCCCACACCTCCAAAGCCTTTTGTAAAACCTACAAGAAAGGTTTTGCACAATTAAGTTAACTCATAAAATTGCATCGGATCAAGTCTTATATTGCCTGCCAAAAAAATAATTGATGTATGCAACAAACATCTCAATAAACAGAAACCACTGTTTTGCTTAAAATAATATTGTTTTTATTAGAATTTGAATCATACAGGGCACTGAAGGCATAGCAACATGCATAAATATAATCCTAAAATTTTGAAATATACAAAACAGTGATAGAACTTGGATTTTGAATCCAGAGGCTGGATAATGTATCAGTGTGTTGAAAATAAGATTAGCATTCATACATTTATTGTATAAAACAGTTATTTCGTATTATATCTTATAAATAGAGATAAAATTTTATGCAATTATTCTACTTATTTATTGATTTTAAGCCCCCAATAAGACAGACGGTGTTGTGTAGTAGACACAGTTTCACAATATTGTGTTTGTGTCTCTTATTCAACATGGTATCTATATCCTAAAGTGAGGCAACCCTTAACCGTGTTTAATTGGTGAATCCTGTCTTTTGGTTTCAAACAATTTTCGAGAACTGTTATCTTTTTAGTTTTTGCTCTCCTCTATCATGGCACCAAATTACAATTGTTCCATTCCTTGCCACCGGAATTTTGTTATTTTTAAGAGAAAACCCTATCCATTGCTTATCCATTGCATGTGTAATCTCTTGACCGACAGAACCTCAAATATTTCGGCTGCTAATACTATTAAACGAACCATCACACGCAGTCTTTCTCCACCTCTGCACCACGCATCCTCCACATGCCACCGACAACCATCGCACATACAAGCACATTTGGTAGCCTTCTGATGAGCTTTTCTGAAGTCTTTGTCGCCTCCCTACCCTGGTTCTACACCAGATCTCCATATTTCTTTCAAACCATGGTACCTAGGTTTCAGTGCAAAGAGCCCCTTATCTCTCTTTTTTTGGAGATAATTTCTCACTCATGTCAAGACCTATGGTTCCATCAACACTACGGATGCTTCCAAGACAGATAGATGCTTTCAGGGCAAACAACCCCTTATCTCTCAGTTTTTGGACATAATTTCTCTCTCATGTGAAAACCCATGGTTCCATCGACACTCTGGATGCTTCCAAGACTGAGATGCTTTCAGTGCAAGCAACCCCTTATCTCTTTTTTTGGACATAATTTCTCTCATGTGAAGACCCATGGTTCCATCCATTGACACTCTGGATGCTTCCAAGACTGAGATGATTGTTTTTACCTACTTCGTCATTTCTCCCCGAGGTCTACGAAATGAGTAATGGTGGAAGTGTGGTTGAATTATCTTAGAATTGTGGCTGGACCTAAACACAACCTCACAAAATCAGTGAAACTCTTAGCATGTACCCTCACGCCGAGTCCAATTGGGCTTGGTGCATGGATATAAAAGGTGTGGCCTGATGATAGCGGAAATCTAATAGAAGGTGGCCCAACATGTCTCGAGTGAAGTTCTGATACCATCTTAAATTGTGGTTGGACTTAAATCAACCTTACAAAATCGGCTGATAACATGAAGATTCTTCCAAACTTATAAGCATGTGTTCATACCATATATTGTCCGGCGTGAAACTTTTAACATATTCCCTTCTTTTGGGACTCTTGTTTTGTGCACGCCTGACAAGGTGTGGACGACAATGATAATCTAGATTGTACGAACATCTAAACAATCCAATTCACCATCTACACTAGCAAGATGACTTATGGGATGAAGCTTGATTTTAGGCATAAAACCATAAACACATGTTTTCCTTCCCATGTCTCCATTTTTTATTTATTGGAGCTTGGCATATTTTTCCTTCTTAAAAGATGAACCTTGGTCATTGGATTACAACATGCCATTACATCCCAATAATTTGGGCTTCGTTCTACTGGATATGATTTCCTTACAAGGAAGCATCTGGCCTTTCTGCAGCTCTCCTACCATTTCACGTGCTACTGTGGCCTTTCTCCAGCTCTCTGTTTCCCTCTAATGTTGAATCAAAATCTTTAGGGTCTGACATAATGATACAAATTCCCCAATTACAAAGATACAACAAAATCTTTTGGATATGCACCTCCTAGCCAAAGGCCCCAAATCTGTTTCATATTAGCACATGCCCTCTTAAAATCCCTTATTATTATCTGTCATAAACTAACCCTCCCCAAAACTCACTAAACTCCTTATATACCCTTCCTTTGTTCATTCGAAACCCATTTGAAATCTTGCAAGGTTTAACATTAGGAATTGGGTGCAAATACAAGAACAATCTAAAATATATGTTGCATACTATGGGTTAGAGCAAGAATGTCTCAAACAGATATTCACCTCCTAGCCAAAGGCCCCAAAAATCTCTTTCAAATTATCACATGCCCTCCTTCTAAGTTCTAATCCCTTCTTATGTCTATCCATTATAGACTCACCATCCAAAACTCACAATTCACACTCACCAAACGCATACATCCTTTCTCATCTTTGTTCATTCAAACCCCATATGAAATCTTGTGAGGTTTAACTATCAGGGTATTGGGTGCAAATACAAGGAACAATCTAGTATATATGTCGCACACTATGGAGGAACAAGCAAAAAAAGTCAAGTAACAACAAAATTAAGTACATGGAAAGGGAAAGAAAGTCAAGGGGTAAACAAAACAAGGGACAAAGAAGAGGACCACCCCTGGTAGAAGAGAAAAAATCAGAAGGACAAAAAGAGTAGGTTTCAAAGATCACTCAATGGGTAACAAGGTAGAGGCAAAAAAGACTGGGAGTCAAACGGAGATAAAGAGGAATATAGACATTGACCACTATACAGGCCAAGTGTGAAATAGGCCATCGGAACCCTATGATGACTGAACAATTTGAGGTCATCCACATAGTGAGACAGGTCTTCAACAATGAAAAGTGTTGGATCTTCGGCATGCTATTCAAGGATCACTAGTCTGAAAGCTACTGGGCAATGGTACTCATATGATGGCGGATGCTCGTGGAGACAATCAAGGATGAATTAGGTTGCAATTTTGTAGCCTAAGGAACGATGTCTAACCCATGAAGAGAAAGGAGTATGAAAAAGAATCTGATTACAAATTTACAATACAATATGTTAGTTTAAATCCCTAGTGGCACCAAATCCAGCCCAATTCTCCGGCATAATGTAGTTAGGATAGTCTGGCATTATTGTTTGTTTTAGTAGGTCTCAGTTATTTGGTGGCCCTAAATGTTATTTAGATACTTCAAATATTCTGACATTTGGAAACTTCCTAGTTACATATTGCTATCAGGTGTTGATATTTTGCGATGTTGGAAATAAAAAGCTATCTTAGAGACTAAGCAACTCAGTATAAGAACTCAGCATCAAAGACAGATGGCATAAACCAACCAGGGCTTAGATGATCGTGACATATATCGTAGAGATTAAGCTACTCAATGTACAAACTAAGCATCAAAGACAGATGGCATACGGGAGAGGTCACAAGAAAGGAACCTATGGATCATGCTGCAGTTTTAAAAGACTGGTGCACATCCCTTCTTTGCTTAAATTTTTCGGTAAAAGTCCATGCCAATGGCTTGGCTTGTTTCAGTTTTTCAAGAAAAAAATAACTTTTATAAAGAGAAGCAACACTTTGAAAATTTCAAGGCTGTTTTTTAAGCTTTGTTAAGAAATGTGGTTAGGTCTTGTTGATATTTGTAAATATATAGTGTTAAGAATATTTGTAAATAAAATAGTCTCACATCGATTATATCATGTAATTAGTTGTAATCTCTCTATATATAATAAAGTCTCTCTAGTGCTTTTAAAACACACGGTTTAATCTAAACGTCTCTTAGTCTCTCCTAATTCAACATGGTATCTAGAGCCTACTAAGAGGCAATTTTTCGCCGTACTTTATCCGGTGACAAATTTTTATTTTATTTTGCAAACCGTGTCATCACTCCAGTTTGTCTCTCACTTTTCAAAATTGTCCGGTAACCACCGGACTGCTGCCGCCATCGGCCGCTACTAATTTTAACGACCTTCCGGCAAACTAACCCTACCGGCAAAAACGCCTCCTTCGATCCGGACAATCCTGACGATTTTTCCACCGCCGCACTCGCCACCGTGCAATTTTTTCAAATATGATACTCATGGCTATTACTCAGAACTTTATGTCAAACTACGATGATTTTCTCAAGTGGTATCAAAATTATCAGAACTCATATTCTACTGCTTCGGTTGCACACACAGGAAATTCATCTGTTTGCTTCTCTCATTCATCTTCTCTTGGACTTTGGGTCCTTGACTCTGGTGCATATGTTACTGGTAATGAAAATCTTTTTTCTTCCGTCTCTACCTCTGGTTTCTTACCTAATATAACTTCTGCCAATGGTTCTCAAACCCGATCCAAAGAAATTGGTACTGTTCAAATTCTACCTTCTCTCTTTGTTACTTCTGTACTCTATATATCTAATTGTCCATTTAATTTATTTTCAGTCAGTCGTTTAACTCATTCTCTTGATTGTATTGTCACCTTCACTAATAGTAATGTCACTTTGCAGGATCGGAGTTCGGGATAGATAATTGGCATCGGATGTGAGTCTCAAGACCTTTATTACCTCTCAGTGTCATCTCAGACATGCTCAGTCAAAGATTCTCCACTCACAATCCATACTCAGTTAGGTCATCCTAGTCTTCCCAAATTACAGAAGTTGGTGCCAAATATATCGAAAATATCTAATTTACATTGTGAGCCGTGTCAGTTAGGGAAACACACTCGTAGTCAATTTTCCAATCGAGTCAATAAACGAGCTTCGTCCCCTTTTGCTTTAGTTCACTCTGATGTTTGGGATCCCTCACGTACTATCTCTACTCTTGAGTCTAGGTATTTTGTCATTTTTATTGATGATTTTTCACGTTACACGTGGTTATTTTTAATGAAAAATTGATCAAAATTATCTTCTATTTTTGAAAAAATTTATAAAGAAATAAAAACTTAGTTTGGTGTGCCTATTCGTATCTTAAGAAGT